TCTTCCTGGACTTGAATGAAACTTCGTGTCTGCAAAAGCTAGGCCTAACACAGCCCGCCACGAGCGATCAGGAGGACCAGCAAGCATCTGGAGACCTCCGGATCTGGCTTGATCTTACTGTGAGATCGGCCTCGCAACGCACGTGGTCAATGCTTGGGGAGTATGACGTGGCCCCGGGTAATTGGGCTGGCGTTTTTCATGCGAACGGGCAGGTCGCATCCGAGCACATGCGCTTCGTGGTGAGCAAAGACCAGGAGGTGGTCGAGGCTGCCTTTGAAGCCGCCAATGATGAAGACAATCCGGAGCGCGAGGCACACTGCTTCATCTTCCACCCTAAACCCTACACTGTGAACCCTAAACTTTAAACCCTAATAGCATCTGTCGCAGGCTCTCAGCTCTGCATTGACGGAGCTCTGGATCCACAAGATGACACTGGTCAAGGCGCTTCTTGAATGTATGGGATGTTAATCTGTATGAGTTGAGCCTTTCGCAAGAACGTGTAGCAGGCACAACACACTCGATCGTGGAACGTCCGTCAGCTGTAGGACTGTAGGACAGACGGCGTAGGTCCAGCTTGCTGAAGCCTTGGAATTTAGTCTGGGCACCATAAATGCTGCTTACAGTTACAAGATTTGCAGCCGGACTGTGTACCTAGCTAACAACTACACGACATTGCAAGGTCCGGCTGGGTGACCTTGGTAGTATCCTGGGATGTGATTGACCGTTGCAGGTTTGCAATTCAGGGTTTGGGGTTCGTGGTTAGGGGCTTGGGCTTAGGGTTTAAGGCAGGGTTTCAGGGCCAACCCTAGATAAATCTATTCAATCAGGGTTTGAAGAGGTAAACACAATGTAGCGTCGTTGCCAGCAGCCCCAGGAGACATGGGACTTTGCGAAGCAGTTTGGATGGAAACGGGAAGAGTTGTACCAACACCTCTTCCGCCTCACCAACGTGATGATTTCAACAAAACAAAACCTCGAAGACGTCCTCGCAACTGTCGGAGATGCTGTGGTGCGGGATTCCAAAAAGTTCACAGGCATGTCACCTGAAAGGCTCTTCTTCGTGTACAGTCGCAGCAAGCGACTAGCACAAACTGACGGCCAGTACGTGGATCCTGTGGAGCTCGGAGACCTGGACAGAGCTTCAGCACGCAGCTTTTCGCGTGACCGCAACCGCGTCTTCGGTGCTGCCAACCCAGTCAAGCAGAGCGTGCCGGTGATAATGAAGAAGTTGTGCCAAGCAGGCACGAGGTCACGCACGGTAACCCGGTAGTCATTCTGCGAAGCCTGAACCTTCCCAAGACCGCATGCCCGCTGCAGGCAAGACGGATCTTCCGAGGGCGATCAAGGACCGTGAGTGGAAGGCAGCAGGGCAGCCAGCCGACTGGGCTTCTGCAGGCTACATGCTGGCTCTCCGACGCATGCACCAAGGCAACTTTCTGAACTTTTCCGGTTTGTGGGCGTGTGCACTTCTCCAAGAGGGCATGCTGTTCGAGTGCACATCTTCGGGTGCATTTCTTTTCAGTTTGGGAGCCGCGCGTTCCACCGCTGTGGCTTGGTTGGTGGAGGAAGTAGCGGTGCCTTGATCGCCATTGGTGATTCCATAAAACAGTACAGTGCAAACCTATGCCTTCAGCTCGAGGTCAGTCAATGTATTAGCGTACTCGTACTGTGCAAAGATCAAGGATCCCTGAAGCCACAGTGACAGCAATATTTAAGACGTTCGGGGTATTTAGTCCTACACCCCTACGCCCTACACACCCTATACACCCTATACACCCTAGACACCCTAGACACAGATCGAATCTGGGAGATGCACTTGGTAAACCTCGCTGGACCAAGCCTTGACATGCTGGAAGAATACGCAGGCATCCCCTTCGAACCCTGCGACTCGGTTGCTAGGGCGGTGTTGGTTTGTTTAACTGTTCGCATGACTCAGTTACTATGCGTAAAGAGACTGTACAAGACTTAGGTCTCCCTTCCCAACGCCCGGATTTGCAGCAGTATGGGGTGCTCCTGAAGCGGACCGGGGCCAATGAACATTTGGTGCCGCATTGGCTGCAGCACGGCACGATGAACCCCTCCATTCGACAGCATCTGCCCAAACTGTGTGCCGCTTGCAAAGTTCAAGTAGAGAAGCACGATGAAAAGAAAGTGACCGACAAGTCACGCTTGCATCTTGGTGGTAAAGTTAACTAGGAGTGTGGATTATTAATGTTATTATAGTCTATAGGCGTTTGCAGGCCTCATATAACTTATACAATATCCCTCCGTATCTGCTTAGTTAACAGTCTCAACATTGCCACCCAACGCTGTGAGGCACTCGTTGCGGAAAGCTTTCTTCCCGGGCGAGACAGATGCCCAGCGTCGTGCAGCAGTGGAGCGACTGCTGGCTTCGGCAGGCCGAAAAAGTGTGGTGCGCACGGCGGGCTTGCGAGAAGCCCTGGAACTGATGCAAGCCTCTGAAGAGCAAGAGGCTGTAGAGGATCTTCGTCAGGAGTTGGACATGGAAGACATGCGGGACATGATAGTCAAGCGCTTCCCAGCAGCCAGGGCAAAAGCCACAGCGTGGACACCTGAAAGCATCAAAAACCTCAGGCCACCTGTTTCTTGCACACTGTGTTGGCAAATCAATGCGGAAGCCTTCGAAGCCTATTTCAACGTACCAGAGGCCTTCCGAACAAGAGGGAAGAAAACCTGGTCCCGCTCCAGAAGCTACAAGACTGGAAAATGGACGCAAGAGTCGGCGCTCAAGCAGATGGTCAATTTCCTTTGGAGTTCTCACGTAAAGTGTGGTGGGGAAGCGGCCTCAGTTGAACTAGCATGCCCTCAACCCTACCTTGAAGCCTAGGGAAATTGAAAGGATAGGGATAAGCTAGCCAACCATGTATACACCCTTTAATACCCTAAAGCCCAAACGCTTAGTGTAGTTCACGGTTTTGAGGTTAGAGGCTCAAGCGCATTAGGTGAAGGGAGTTGTATTTTCCCTGCTTCAGGACAAGGCCGGCCAGCCGAATGCCCAACAAGTGAGAGACGCCCTGAAACAGGCTGTCTCAGAAGTTCAGAATCCGGATGCTGCTCCTGCCCGGGATGTTCCAGATGCGGAGATCTCAGATCAAGATCAAGATCAGAGCGGCTCGGATGGGCTGTCAACGGATGATGATGCTGATCAGCCGCCATCATCCGCAAAACGGCTTCCTGCCAAGCGAGCAAAAGGTAAGGCTGCGTCGGCTTCAGCGGCAGCCTCAGCCAAGCGATCAAAAGGTGCGGCTGCGTCGGCTTCAGCAGCTTCATCTCGTGTGCCCGGCCCTGATTGTGCATCGGATGCATCGTCAGATCGCAAGAGTAAAAAGAAGGACAAGAAGAAAGACAAGAACAAGCACGACAAGGGAAAGAAGGCTAAGAAAGCCAAGGAGTAGACGGAGACTGTCTGCGGCCGGAGACGTCTGAGCCACCGCAGAAAAAGCGGGTTGTTTGTGTGCGTGTGCGTGTGCTTGTAGGCTGTGTAGAAACAAGCTCTCCACATCATGCATTTGGCAAGGTAGCGGTTTCATGTTGCACGAAACTACCACATATGCTGTCATATGCTGTCATATGCTAATAGCCCCAAAAGCTAGGGAACAAAGAAAAGGGAACAGAAGAAAAGCCCTTGATTAAAGCAAAGTATAGGGAATCCTAGCACTGATCCTCCTAAATCCATGTTCCAACTTTCTGGGATTCACTATAGAACCTCGGATTCAAGGTTTAGGGATAAAGTTGCGGGTCTTAGGGCGTAGGATTCAGGGTTCAGGGCTAGAGTTTAGGGTCTTAGGGTCTTCGGGCTTCGGACCTGGGGATGTAGGGCCAAAGTTTAGGGTCTTAGAGTTTTCGGGTTTAGGATTTAGGGTTTAGGGCAAAGTTCAGGGTTCAGGATTTAGAGATTGGGGTATTTGGGATTTGGGGTCTTAGGGACTTTGGATTTAGGCTGTAGGGTCTTGGCTATTTAGGGTCTTAGGGTCTAGGGGTTTAGGCCCTAGGGTTTAGGTTCTAGAGTTTTGGCTTCAGGGTTTAGGGTTTAGGGTATAGTTCGGAAGCTCGACATTTGTAAGGCACGCTACTAGATAATAAGTATATAAGATGCTTCATCTGGGGTTACATACCATAATGGGGGCAGTGCCCCAAAACCATAATAGGGATGGGTTTTGGGATCTATTTCCATAATGGTAGTATGTATGGACTTTAAACCCTAAGCCCCATAGAACCCTTAAAGGAGCCCTTAAAGAAACCTTAGTATGAACCCCCTGGGAGTTCCTCTACACGACCAGGCTACCCATGGATCCTGGAGATTCCAGCTCCTCAAGCACTTACACCATCAGGCTGCTGACTTAGCCAATGGAAGAACTTTAAAATTTTTGGCCTCAATTTGGTCTATGATCAAAGTTCGAACTTTTTGGGCCCTAAACCCTAAACCCTGGAGAAGAGAGGCTGACTGTTTACACTCTTCTGGACAGGCTGGAGGAGCGTCTCGGGCCTTCTGGAAGCTAGCTTTTCTGTTGTTTTCGTCTGCTTGGACAAAGGAAAAAAGAAAGCTCAGAATTCTGAACGTGCTTTTCGCCTCCTATATTCTTACGAGGGAGAAAACCTTCATCAGAATTCCTGGCGTGTCTGCAAAAGCAACCGAAGGCTCGCCCTCGAGATGTCAAAGCTACATGGGGAAGTCGACAGCCTGCAGGAGTTTCCAATTGCAAAAGGAGGGACCCTTAATGAGGACCCCTAGGTATCTACCCGTAATAGAGCTATTATATACCCATTATATAGCCCATTATAGGGCAGGGGTCCCCATTAAGGGTCCCTCCTTTTCCCCCGTTGAGGAGTTCGATCCGGCGCAGTCAGCCGGATCCTTGAAGCGTTTGAAGGAGATCACACAGCAGCGCGACGAAGTTCTTCAAGAGGCATACAAGGATCAGGATCCGATCGACGGAAACGTGGGGTTAAACAATAAGGTGACGTTCCTTGCTGTTGGGATGACGGGCACCGGCAAGTCAGAACTCTGCCGCTGGATGACTGGCAACCAAGAGCTGTGTACTCCCAGTAGCTCCACGAAGTCACACACCAGCGAAGTCATCGCGGTTGACGGCATGCCTTTCAACGATCCGAAGTTGATCTCGAACATCGAATGGCTTGACACGCCTGGACGAGGTGACACGAGGGGTTACAGCAAGGACTCGGAGCTGTGGAATCAGACAGTCTACCAACTCCGGAACCGCGGCAGCCGGAGCATCAATGCTATCGTTTGGGTGCTCAATGCAGCATGGCAGCGCGGCACGGCTGGCCGGAAGTTGATGCTACGAGAGCTCAGACGCACATTTGGCGTGGAGCTATACAGGCATCTACTATGCCAAGCCGAATAGTAAACCCTGGTCACTCCCCCATACGTATGTCTCCCTAAACTCTAAGCCCACGCCCTCAAGAGGCATCTATGTGTCGTGCTCAACTTCCTCCCTCATCCTGCCAACAAGAGCCTCTACCAAGAAGAGCTGTCCTTCCAGAAGAAGAAGTTCACCGACTGGATCTTGGAAACCGAAACTGGGACTATTCTTTAGTACTTGTTGTGCCAATTTCTCAGCGGTTTTCTTCAAAGCCCACTAAGCCCTAAACCCTAAAGCCCTAAACCCTAAAGCCCTAAAGCCCTAAAGCCCTAAGCCCTAAACCCTAAACCAAAAACCGCGAAGCTACGTCTCCCAGTACCTCCCCTTCTTCTCATTTTGGTTTTCGGCCTCTTGAAACTAGTTACCTCTCTCTGTTTTAGAAGGGCTATATACTGGTGATCTCACGAACTGAAGCCTAGATGCGAGAAGGCATGAATACTTGTAGTGGGGCAAAACGGCACCCGTAGATCATCAAGCGACACGGCATACCAAGGAAATGGACCAAACCTTGAGCTGTAAACCCCTTATAGAGCCCTAAAATGTAGGAACCTGACTAAGAAACCCTGGGCCTATAACTCCCAAGATGTAAGGATTCATATAAAGGAATTCTAACAAAGGCCCAGGGTGTCTCAATCAGCTTCCTACACTAGGACCCTTACATTAACGGAAGCCCTTAACCCAGGAAGTGGACATGTTCAACTGGAGCACTTACCTTTTCGATGAGGTGCAGAAAGAAGTCAGCAGTCTCCGCATCTATGGTGTGAGCCTTGTTGAGTGTTTGGCCCCTAATACATACACCCGAAGCCCTGTGCCCTAAATAGTCTACCAGCTCGTTGAGAAAATCCGTTTGAAGTTTTGCTTAAGTATTCATGCGGGTCCTTGGATTTCAGGGTTTAGGGTTCAGGGTCTTGGGGTTTTAGGGTTTTGTGGGTGTTACATGGTTTTCGGAGGGGTTTATAATAATTTAGGGTGAGGGAGTGAAGCTGAAGATAGCATGAGCATACGGGCATGCGGTAAATTACCTTGCTTGCCGTTTTTGAAACCCTTAAACCACGAACCCTAAAGCCCTAAACCCTAAACCCTGCTTGCCGCTTATGTTACTTGGAGGATCATGGGACTTAGTAAAGTTATAAGTACCATAATTATACCCTTAGTTACTAAGTCCCATGATCCTTTAAGTAGCCAGGAGCATTCATCCCAAGTACTACGGACTGAAGCCGAAAGACCCTTGGTCTCGCACATCCCTTTTCCTTTCGGGCTCTCCATATTCAAACCGACTAGTAAGGAAAAGGGAACCCTAAACCCTAAGGCCAAAACCCTAAACCCTAAACCCCAAACCCTAAACCCAAAACCCTAAACCCTAAATCCAAAACCCTAAACCCTAAACCCAAAACCCCAAACCTCAAACCCTAAACCCAAACCCTAAACCCAAAACCCTAAACCTTTCGAGGCTACTGAAAAACCCAGGATCTGCCCCTGTCGGCTCCATACTTGTCCAGCTTTCCTCCATTTTCACATCCGGTTGGCCTGGCCAGCTTGATCAGCCTGTTCAAGGATACGCAAGACGAGACTTGCCCCTTCTTTTCGCACAGTTTAGGGTTTAGGGTTTAGGGTATAAGTAGAAAAGGTTTGCATTAGCAGCAGAAGAGAGAGGTTCAAAACCATAGAAGGGCCTCCAAAGCTCAGGAAATTGGGAAGCAAGGCTACAGCGCTCTTGACCCCGGCAATCTGCATCCGCGCGTTGGCCCTGGTCTTGTCGTCTCTGGGTCCTACACCAAAACTTGCAAGATCGCGCCAGCAGTTCGCATTGCCCATGTCAATATCGCAGGGGAGGATTGGGTTCAACCAAGAGAGCTTTAAAGCTTCTCTGAGCCGTAAAAGGTCCTTATGCTGCATACTTGGACAGGGACCCCGATCCAGGGTCAGTACCCCTCCTCTCCACCACGAAATAAGCGCTTGAGTTCTCAAACCAATGCCCTGCACTTTCACACCCAACAACCCTAAACCCCGCAGGCCTGCGCTCCGCTATTAACCAAGCCTTTAGTAGAGAAGTTAAGTTCGGGTCTCACCAGTAAATGGTGTTGAGGCCCTAACAAGGCCGCGACTCCGTCATGGACCCCCTGCATTGCCCTACCTTGTCCACAAATAAGCTGCCTGCCGAAGAAGGTAATCGTAGCGACGAACACACTGGAAAGGTAGGCTTTATACTTGGAGGATCATGGGACTTAGTAAGTAAGGTTATAAGTACCTTAATCGGGGTTATAAGTAGTTGTCAGTATAGTTACCCTAATTATGACCCTAGTTACTAGGTCCCATGATCCTTTAAGTAGACCCTAAACCCTAAACCCCATGGATCCCTTTAAGGAACCCCTATAGATCCCTTTTAAGGAGCCGTTTCAGGATCCCTAGTTACTAAGTCCCATGAGAGGCGTATCGGCTTTCAGCGGCGCATGTGCATGGTTGGTTGTTATGGCTTTCATGGCAACTTGCAGGTTTCACGTCCGAAGGTTTTTGCAGGGTTTGTTGTTTCTGAAAGTTTTGCTGGCGGCTGCTCAAGGGAGTACCCCGCCACTGGTTTCACAGGAAGGCCTGCCTCGATCGGCAATGGCAGGGAAGGGTGGAGAAGCTCCGGCTAACCCGCCTTCCAACCTGGCCAGGGAGCTCACGCAAGCTCACCAACAGCTGGGTTTGCAGCAGAATATCACGAGCCAGCCGGTGTACACCGCCAACCAGCAGCTCTGGTTTCAGCACAGGCAGGACAAGCGCAAGGCACCGTCAGCCTCGGGATCCATGCTTGGTACACCGCAGGTTCCAGAGTCGGATGCTACGATGGATGAGATGGGTCCGGACCCCTTTGCCCAGGCTACTCCGCCGGACGCAGGGCAGGGAGCCAATCTTTTCCAGCCCATGCCCATGCAGGAGAGCACGGCATATTCACTGGCAGCGGCACAGCTGGGGGTGGATATCAACGACCCAGCGGCAGTGCAATCGTGGCTTTCCGGAACGGTCTCCACGCGTGCGGAGGTTTTACAGACAGTCCGGGCTTACCACCATGGGGTAATCCGCCCGGAGCTTTTCCACTATATCAGCCAAGTGGAAAATGTGGTTAAAACGCTCGACGACCGCATCGCGCAGAACCAAGAAGGACTACGCTGGCTCGCTTCTGAGAACAGGGCGCAGCAAAAGCGAGAGTGCGGCCTGATGGTTATTCTAAGCGGCTGGGACCAAAGCATGACGCCTGGCGAGCGCTTGTACATGATCAACTGGCTTTTGGGGCAGGTCACCTATGTGCGTCACTTTCTGCAGCAGCGCAGCTACAACCCCTCCGACTCTGCCGAGTACTACTATCTCGGGGCACTGCAAACTGACCCGAGTACACCGCCAGCCGGCACAGGCAAGTGGAGTACAGTTACCACACTGTATTTCAAATCCTGGGATCTGCGCAAAGAGTTTATGGCCGCGTTTGGAGGCTCAGGGGGTACACCGCTCTGGAAAGATTCGCAGACGGTGGCCAAAGGATTTCACATCCGGGCCACGCCGGCTTCGCCTCAGTTCCAGCGCAAGCTTGAGCTCCCGGTGCGAGTCCTCCTCAAGGCCATGAACAAGTGGGCGGAAACCCAGACCAATCCGCCCACTCAGATGATCATCCTCTGGCGAACACTCACGGTGATGGAGCCCAGCGAGAACCGTGAGTGGAACGAGCAGATCCGAGCAGCGGCCAGGATGATCTACTTTGAGAAGGATGGTGTGTTTCAGGGGAGGCTGGAGATTACTCGGGATGTGCACACAATCATCCAGAGTAAACTGAGTAAACCGCCGCCTCCAGCCCTGGAAGACACTCTCTGGGAACACTGCTGGAGCGAGGTTGCTTACGGCATCCAACTGGAGATGGACAAAGCTGATAAGGAAATTTTTGAAAGGGCCCTTCGGGAGTCCAAAGGCTCCGGAAAGGGCGTGCAGCTTGGCAAAAGCTCCAGGCATTGGAGTACACCGCTCATTCACAGCAGTGACTCCAACCCGTTCCCGATTCCTATGTATGTCATGCCTGTGGATGACATAGCATTTTCCTGGGACGAGCTGTGCGACAAGCAGAACCAGCCGGACCAGAAAGTAGGAGATTATAAGATTTCTACTTTTGGGGGTAAACCGCCGGCACCAGCTGCAGCTGCATCTGCAAGCAACATGCCGCCTCCCCTCCCTCCACGATCCCCGCCGGAGCCAAAGGCAAAGGCAAGGGCAAGAAAGGCCCAGCAGGGACGGAGGTGGAGGACGATCTTTGAGGGTTTACCTCCACAGTTTTCTCGCTTCCCTCTTTAGAGGCTGCGGTGTCCCCATCTCTTTTCTTGACTACACCGCCCTGGTTGCTGGCTGGAGCTGCTTTTGAAATTTCTCAACATGGTCTCCTGACGTCGCCTTTTTCGGGACCACAGCTCGCTAGCAACCGGCCGCGGATTTTACAAGGTAATTTGGCTAAACCGCCTGGCTCGCTTCATGGCCCGCCCTTTGAAACTTTCTTTCGTGGGACAGGGAGCTTGAGCCGGCGAGGAAAAGCCAGGTTTCGACTTTTTTGGGGGTTTACACCGCGCCAGGGAAGCCGCTTTGGGGGGCAAAGCTCCCAAGTCCTTTTCAGACTGCCAGGTGCGATACCACAAGGCTACCCCGCCACTAAAACACGATGACATAGGATGGGATAGAAAACCTATTAGGAGAAGCCAGCACAGCCGTTCTAGGCGTAAACCCAAGTTTCGGGATAGCGGTCAGATTTGGAATGCCCTTAAGCACATTACTATAAGTTACCTAGTTGTCCTTTACTACACCTCCGAAAATAGGCAACTTTGCCCGATAATCCTCATGGATGCTCTTATCGTCAGTACTTTGCTTCACGGAGTACACCGCCTCATTAGTTTCACTAGGGACGCCTTTTTCGTTACGAACGGTCAGGTAACAGCTGCCTCTAGGGGTTACGCACATTCCTTAGTTAATCTCTTAGCGCGCGCAAGAAATAGAACCATGCACGCAAAGTTTGGAAACTACGCAGAGTCAGAGCAAGCTAGTGATATCGACACACTGTTTTCTAGTCGTATCAAGCTTTCCAGGAACGCGCTTCTAGACATGCGCACGCCGGGCTACACCGCCAATTTCACCCCGCCCACCCTACAACCCATACGTCGCGCTAAGCGCACAGGGGATAGGGTCGAAATTATCACCGCCTCAGGTTCAAAACTCTTCCGCTCTAAGCGTAGAGTAAAACCCAACCATTGTGGAATTCGTCGAATTAATTCTACTTCCGCTAACAGTCCAGCACCGCCTCAACGAGGCACGCCGGGTGTCACCTCGGTGACAAACGAAGAGTGCAAACCTCAACTTCCCCTAAACAGTCCTCCTAAAGGCCGAGGTTCCAGGGCTAGGTGCCAACGCAGACGCCTATACAGGCAATGGCGCCGGCTCTCGGGAGGAATTATAGCGCCTAAGGTACTGGGTAAACCTACGGCGAACCAGGGGAATCCCTTGAAAGCAGCTCAAAGGTGCGAAAAAAGAACAAGAGCTAAGATTTTCAGAAGATTAGTTCTGGAACAGTCCCACCCTAGAAAAAGAGACCCACACCATAAATTAAAGCTGGCTACTCCGCCCATAGCTTATGGTGAGACTCTTTCAATCGGCACACAGAATGTGCAGGGTATGGCCGAACTCTTCAAACATCAGGAAGTCCTACAACTTATGAAGGAAAAGCACTTAGAAGTTCTTTTCCTCACCGAAACACACTCCAAATCCTACTACACCTTCCAATCAGAAGCACACCTCTTCATAGTCAACGGTAACCCCAAGGATAAATGGTCCGGAGTCACGGAAGTCCTCACCCCCAAGATTATACCGCATCTCAAAACCGTCATCCAGCATTCCGCCCGAATCCTCGAAATAATTTTAGCTTGTAGATCAGGAGACATCCACCTATTCGGGGTTTATGCACCTCACGACAAATCAGACGATGAGGTAAGAAAGGCCCCATTCTGGCAGAAACTCGGGGATGCTATAGCTAAAATCCCGCAACCAGAACCCTACTACATACTTGGGGACTTTAATGTACGATTGCAGGGTCGTTTTATTTCGGAACATGGAATACTTGGTCCTCACATTTATGGTAAAGGGGCTACAGCAATTAAGCAACAGCCAGGAACCAACAGGCATTATTATACACAGCTGTTACAGGGTAACGCAGCGGTCGATGTACTCAGCTATAAACAGTCTAATCTGTTGAAGCATGTCACATATAGGGACAAACATCCTCCACCCGATTCCTGGGATCAATTCATTCTCGATCCTTTAGGTTGGTTGCACGTATGGGATAAATTCCAGGCTACACCGCTCTTACAGGACGACCAGCTTCAGATAGTTGCCGACATCAGACAATATCTAGGCGCAGATACGCTGCCCCCCACCGCTTTGGCTAAACCGCAGGTAGATCCGTACAGGTTTCAGAGTTTAGATAGATGCGTCACCTCCAGAAAGTGGCTACCGTCAGTGCGCAAATGCGGTGCACAACACTACACGGGATTCCCCAGCGACCACTATCTTCTGACCCTTAAGCTCAGGGTTAAACTTTCAGGTAAAATGCCTAGGCACGTCCCCGCCCCCAAACATGATTACTCCGCCATCACCGACAGTATGCGTAGGGATTTCAATCGCGTGGTAAAACAACAGCTAAAACTTAAAGAAGACGAGCTCCCCAGCGCCAATACAGACGCGCGCTGGGACGTGTACACAGATGGTTCCGGCTCCCGGGGTCGCTGCACCAGCACTACCCCGGCAGGATGGGGGATATATATAGAGGATCAAGAAGGCTGGTCCACTGAAGCCAGTGG